GAGGGAATATCTCCCTAACTATCGGGTGGAAAGGGGCCGTAGCCCTCTGTGTTACTGTTATGTTATAATAAACGTGCTGCCTCCAGAAGAGAGAAGCCTCCACAAGTTTTATACCCACTACACGACGATGGGAAAGTCACGTTAAAGGCGAAATTTGTTCCGATGGCATCGAAAGTGATACTAACAACATTATAAACACATAATGTTAAAATAAACATGGTTAAGCAATGCATTCATTCATGTTTACTGTACCCACAACAGCCCGTCGTTTACAGGGGAATGGTCGGTAAGCGAACACATTGGGGTCTGTGGAGGGACTACACAATTATACACTACACTACTACACACTACACTATACACTACACTACACTATACACTACACTATACACTACTATACACTACAGTACTATACACTACACACTACGCTACTATACACTACACTATACACTACTATACACTATACACTGCACTATATACTACACTATATACTACTATACACTACACTATATACTACACTACTATACACTACACTATACACTACACTATATACTGCACTACACTATACACTACACTACTATACACTACACTATATACTACACTATATACTACTATACACTACACTATACACTACACTACTATACACTACACACTACAGTGCACTACTATACACTACACTATACACTACTATACACTACACACTACAGTACACTACTATACACTACACTATACACTACACTACTATACACTACACTATACACTACTATACACTACACTATTATACACTACACTGCTATACACTACTATACACTACTATACACTACACTACTATACACTGCACTACACTGCTATACACTACACTACTATACACTACACTATACACTACACTACTATACACTCCTGTACACTACACTATACACTACACTTTACACTACTCTACTATACACTACACTATATAATGACAATAGAAACCTCAAAATTTGGTACGCGTATCACGTGAGATGAATATATATTAATCGAACTCGGGTCGCTGTGTTCGTAGCGCAGCGCGCTAACCGCTACACTACCGCTCCCCACAACAAAGACAAAGTCCCCCCCTATAGCCTTAACAGACTGTTAGGGCAAGTGCTGTTAGCGAGTAGCACCACGAAGGCCGCTACACGTGCATACGCACGCTTTTTAATAAATCACGGCAGCGGTCACTGCTCCGATGCCCGCACTTATTTCCCCCGTGATGAGATTTCATTACCTCCCGCCCGAGCCACGACTGACCGCCCTTCACTGCCCTAAATATTCCATCCCAGACACTGGGTTGTTCAACCAACTCACCAACACACAACACTCGCACCCACCCCACCCGCTCGCTCACCCCACCCGCTCACCCCACCCGCTCACCCCACCCGCTCACCCCACTCGCTCACACCACTCGCCCACCCCACTCACTCACTCCACTCTCTCACCCCACTATCTCACTTACCTCACTATCTCACTCACCCCACTATCTCACTCACCCCACTCTCTCACTCACCCCACTATCTCACTGGGTTGGAGATGTTAACTACCTCGCCTGGTATACAGGAGGTCGTGGGTTCGATCCCGACGCTGACGCCTGCTGCTGTATATTTGGACTTTGCGTGTCTCTCTCATCATCATCACGGTGGCTAGGAGATGTTAACTACCTCGCCTGGTCTATAGGAGGTCGTGGGTTCGATCCCGACCCTAACACCTGCTGTATATTTGGACTTTGCGTGTCTCTCTCATCATCACGGTGGCTAGGAGATATTAACTACCTCGCCTGGTCTACAGGAGGTCGTGGGTTCGATCCCGACCCTGACGCCTGCTGCTGTATATTTGGAGTTTGCGTGTCTCTCTCTCTCATCATCATCACGGTGGCTGGGAGATGTTAACTACCTCGCCTGGTATACAGGAGGTCGTGGGTTCGATCCCGACCCTGACACCTGCTGTATATTTGGACTTTGCGTGTCTCTCTCTCATCATCACGGTGGCTAGGAGATGTTAACTACCTCGCCTGGTATACAGGAGGTCGTGGGTTTGATCCCGACGCTGACGCCTGCTGCTGCTCTATATTTGGACTTTGCGTGTCTCTCTCATCATCATCACGGTGGCTAGGAGATGTTAACTACCTCGTCTGGTATACAGGAGGTCGTGGGTTCGATCCCCACCCTAACACCTGCTGTATATTTGGACTTTGCGTGTCTCTCTCATCATCACGGTGGCTAGGAGATGTTAACTACCTCGCCTGGTCTGCAGAAGGTCGTGGGTTCGATCCCGACCCTGACGCCTGCTGCTGTATATTTGGAGTTTGCATGTCTCTCTCTCTCTCATCATCATCACGGTGGCTAGGAGATGTTAACTACCTCGCCTGGTCTACAGAAGGTCGTGGGTTCGATCCCGACCCTGACACCTGCTGTATATTTGGACTTTGCGTGTCTCTCTCTCATCATCACGGTGGCTAGGAGATGTTAACTACCTCGCCTGGTATACAGGAGGTCGTGGGTTCGATCCCGACCCTGACGCCTGCTGCTGTATATTTGGATTTTGCGTGTCTCTTTCTCTGTCTCTCTCCCCGCGGTCGCGTGGATTTTGTCTCTGGGTCCTCCAGGTTTTCTTTCCCCTCCACATGTAAAATGAACGTCACGCGTTCGGAGTATTTGGCTGCTCCTATAAATGTCCATCGTCATGGTGAGCCACTTCGTTGGGCTACATCACTGTGTGATGGCCAGGGTCGCTTCTGACAAAGAGCTACACAGCTCAGTGGGACCTTACCTGCTAAAATAAAAATAGTAGTGGCAGTATTGAACCGCTGCTCTATGAAGCCCTCACGCCCCAAGACGCCACTAATAATAATAATCCACCCAGCTGCATCTGCTCGGCATTTTAATGAAGGGGTTTGAGCCATCATCATCATATTATCATCACCATCATCCTAAATCTAGATTTTAAGTTTTCGTGACTGCAGGGATCCATAATCTTTGGTTCTTTCGTTAAAGTCAGGTAGATAGAAAAATAAAATGAATTAAATCACGACGTTTCGGGCGCAACACAAGCGTCCGTCATCAGGTGGGACAACCATAGCTAGAAACATATTGCTGAAGTGGGCAAAATGTTTCTAGCTATGGTTGTCCCACCTGATGACGGACGATTGTGTTGCGCCCGAAACGTCGTGATTTTATTTATTTTATTTTATACCTACCACGTGACTTTAACGAAAGAACCGAAGAGCATCATCATAAAGTAGAATCCCAAGTAGACAATAAATTAAGTTTCATCGTGAGCAATTGAATGCAACTGGGAGGAGAATCTGACACAATTTGTTTTGCGAGTACACGGCGCATGCAGAGAGATAGACTAACATTGCCTGTAGACTAACATTGCCTGTAGACTAACATTGCCTGTAGACTAACATCGCCTGTAGACTAATATTGCCCGTTGACTAACATTGCCCGTTGACTAACATTGCCTGCAGACTAACATTGCCTGTAGACTAACATTGCCTGTAGACTAACATTGTCCATAGACTAACATTGCCTGTAGACTAACATTGCCCGTTGACTAACATTGCCCGTTGACTAACATTGCCCGTTGACTAACATTGCCTGCAGACTAACATTGCCTGTAGACTAACATTGCCCATAGACTAACATTGCCCATAGACTAACTTTGCCCAAAGACTAACATTGCCCATCGACTAACTTTGCCCATAGACTAACTTTGCCCCTAGACTAGCATTGCCTGTAGACTAACATTGCCTGTAGACTAACATTGCCCGTTGACTAACATTGTCCATAGACTAACATTGCCCATAGACTAACATTGCCTGCAGACTAACATTGCCCGTTGACTAACATTGCCTGTAGACTAACATTGCCCGTTGACTAACATTGCCCGTTGACTAACATTGTCCATAGACTAACATTGTCCATAGACTAACATTGCCCATAGACTAACATTGCCCGCAGATTGATATTGCCAATAGACTAACATTGCCCATAGACGAACATTCCCTAAAGACTAACATTGCCCATAGACTAACATTGCCCAAAAACTAACATTGCCCATAGACTAACTTTGCCCAAAGACTAACATTGCCCATCGACTAACTTTGCCCATAGACTAACTTTGCCCCTAGACTAACATTGCCCTCAGACTGATATTGCCCATAGACTAACATTGCCCATAGACGAACATTCCTTAAAGACTAACATTGCTCAAAGACTATCACTGCCGGTGGACTAAGATTGCCCATGGATTAACGTTGCCCATTGACTGACGAGTTGTTGATTAAATGAACTAAACCAAACTAATTCATAATAATAAATAAACTAAACGTGTTATTTTACCAGCTAAGGCCCACTGAGCTATGTAGATATTTTTTTTAGAAGCGACCTGGCCACCACAAATGATAGATCAGCGAAGTGGCTTTTCACGTGGAACTGTATAGCAGCCAAATACTCTAAACGTGGAGGGGAAAGACCAGGGCACCCGGAGACAAAATCCACGCGACCATGGGGAGAGACACTCGCAAAACTCCAAATATACAGCAGCAGCCATCGTCAGGGTCGGGATCGAACCCACGACCTCCTGCATACCAGGCGAGCTAGTTAACATCTCCTAGCCACCGTGATGATGATGAGAGAGAGAGACACGCAAACTCCCAATATACAGCAGCAGGCGTCAGGGTCGGAATCGAACCCACGACCTCCTGTATACCAGGCGAGGTAGTTAACATCTCCTAGCCACTGCGGCGCCCCAAACATCATGGACAGGGCTATATGGAAGTAAGGCCACGGGTCGCCCGCGTCTTTGCAAGAAACATTTCAAATAAAAGCACGGCTCTTAGAGAGGGAGACAGCGGCGGAGAGCGGTGTCGATGTTGCATCGTTAGAGTCGTTAGTTCACGCGACTGTGTTCAGTGTTCACGCGACCGTGTTCGGTGTTCACGCGACTGTGTTCAGTGTTCACGCGCTAAGACGCTGGCTCACCTCGACTCGCTCACCTCCTCACCTCGCTCACCTTCACCGGGGCTGTATTATCCACTGGGCGCGCCTCCGCTGTTTCCGCACTCGGTGAGCGATCGTTGAAGGCGACACAGACAGACTACGCACGTACACGTATGTTGAACTTCTTTCGCACCGTACGCAGCCAACCGTTAGCAACCCCCCCCACCTCCACACACACTAATACGTTAAGGAACCCAGTTCAACTCTCCCGGGCGAGAATCTCTCTCTCTCTCTGTCTGTCTTTGTATGTGTGTCTGTGTGTGTGTCCTGGTGTTTGGAGTTCTCAGCTGGCCACACAACAACCAACGCCTGCCTGATCGTGCTCACAGCGGAGTCACGGGGCTAAATGAGCGCCTCTGCACTTCGGGAAAGTGGCGCCGACACCGTTTTGTTAAAATAGCCTCGAGCTGCGGAGCCAGAATGGCCCAGAGCACGCGTGTGTGTGTGTGTCTGTATGTGTGTATGCGTGTGTCTGTGAGCGTGTGTCTCTATGTGTGTATGTATGTTTGTGTGTGTGTATGCGTGTGTCTGTGTGCGTGTGTGACTGTATGTGTGTATGTATGTGTGTGTCTGTGTGTATGCGTGTGTCTGTGTGCGTGTGTGTGTATGTGTGTCTGTGTGCGTATGTGTGTGTGTGCTCACAAATCATTGAAAGATCTGGGCAAGGTCCCATCGGTGAGCTCCTCCGGCAGGCAAGGCTGCGTTGGCTGGGTCATGTAGCCCGCATGCCCAGCCACCGCATGCCGAAACAGCTTTTGTTCGGCCGGATCGAGGGGGCTAAACGGGCGCGGCACGGGCTAGAGAAGAGATGGAGTGACGTGGTACAGGAGGACGTGGAGCTGAGTGGACTTGCCGATGACTGGTACCAGCGGTGTCAAGATCGGCCTCTGTGGAGGAGGCTCGTGAAGGATGCTACTGGGCAGTTGGAGGCAGTCGCCCTCCAACAACAACGGAGGGCGGATCAGCGACGCTCACAACAACGAGCGGAGCGCCGGGTGGCTAAAGCACAGCAGGTTGGCACAGTAGGGAGCACAGGTGGTGCATCAGCCAGCCATCTCAGTCTGTCGACCCGTGGCACCTGGGTCTGCCCCGTGACCTCCTGCCAGCGGGCGTTCGACACTTCACGTGGCCTCAAGGTGCACATGGCCTGGCACAAGCGTCGTGGTGACGTCACCGCCACTTAGTGGCGAACGGCGGTTGTTGTTGTTGTGTGTGTGTGGGTGCTGCCCCCTCCCCCCCTTCGTGTTCCGCCCTTGCCCATCATCAACGCTGCTGTTCGCTCACTCGCAGCACTTGCCCCAATAGTCTGTTGAGGCTATACGGGATGCGGCGGGGGATCTTTGTCTTTGTGGTGGCGTGGAGGCGGGGGTTGGCGTGTCGCTGGGGAGGAGGAGGCGGGGAGAGCGTTGCCACTGCCGCTGTAATTCCATCGTCGTGTAGGAATAGCTCAGTGGGCCCGCTCCGTACCCAGGCTGGCATGAACTGCCCCCCCCCCCATCCACTCCATCCACCCCCATCCACCCCCAATCCACCACATCCACCACTACCCCCAGCCACCCCTCCATCCCCTCCATCCCCCCCCCCCCCCATCTCCTCCATCCACCCCCCCATCCACCCCCCATCTCCTCCATCCACCCCCCATCCACCCGCCCCATCCACCCCCCTATCCCCTCCATCCACCCCCATCCACCCGCCCCCATCCCCCCCCACCCCCCTCATCCACCCCCACCCTTCTGCACTGGTGACCATTCCAACCATAGGCCTGCTCACGTGGAATGTCAAAAAAAGGCAAAGACCCCCCCCCCGTCCCGTATAGCCTCTGCAGGCGTTTGGGGCAAGTGCTGCATGCACGCGTGCGTGTGTTGGACTTCTTTCGCACCGTACGTAGCCAACCGTGCTAATCGGAGGTGCGGGGGAAGGACAACAATCTACAAGGGAAGGATCAACGATATACAAGGAACGAAACAGGTGGACTTTTGTCGCCTGATGAAGCTGGTTGTAATTTCTGGCGAAACGTCGTACTCAGATTGTCAATGTCGTGGGTTGGCTCTTCAACACACAACCGGTGGTGCTGTGCTAGTGACGAATTGGCCACGTTCTGTTTACGTGACAAACCCCTTACTAGTTGGCTGTGTCGGGTGGTGGCGTGTTTTACCGACACATTTTATATATTTACGCGATCTCACCCCCCCCCCCCCCAAAAAAAAACCCCTCTATTATGGATGATATTGGTCGCGAAAGCCTGAAAGGACAACCAACCAACGCGCACGCGCAAAACGGCTCCATAGAAATTCCTTTTCAGTCCGGACGATTTGACAGCGTGCAGCCCCCGGTCGCTTCCCCCCGTGCCGGAAGGCAGGAGCGTTCCAGACGGCCGCGGGAGCAGCGCGCCTGCCTGTCGCGAGGATGACGAGCGGAGTGGTGTCGCGTGATGATGGTTTGTGATCCTTGGACGAGATCAGCGAGGGGATGTTTGGGGGGAATTCGTTTGTGCGGCGAACGAGCGAGTGAGGTTGCGAAGGGCGATCGAACGTCATCAGCGTGTCTATCTGTAGTGGACAACAACAACAACAACAAAAAATACGTGAAGGCCTCCGTCACAGTTTCATTGGCCACCAACTAATGTTGGTCATGCGGGTAAAGGGGCAGCCTTGAAAGTGCTCGCTCGTGACACTGCTGCCAGAAAGGCCTCCACTGGAAGGAGCTCTGCAAGGCGGGATTTGTGGCCTACTCTTCCGAACGTCTTGGAGGAGGAGGAGGAGGAGGAGAGAGTAACCCACACTTTACCCCACCAGACGTGGAACTTCAGCGTCGGCGGATGGAATCGAGCCCGAACCGGCGATCTCTGAATCGCAAGCCCGGTGCGACACTCGTTCGAACACCGCCACCAGCACCCCCAGCAGCACCAGCACCACCAGCACCACCACCACCAGCACCACCAGCAGCACCAGAACCACCAGCACCACCAGCACCACCAGCAGCACCACCAGCACCACCAGCACCACCACCAGCACCACCACCACCACCAGCACCACCAGCACCAGCACCACCAGCACCACCAGCACCACCAGCACCACCACCAGCAGCAGCACCACCAGCACCACCACCACCAGCACCACCAGCACCACCAGCACCAGCACCACCACCAGCACCACCACCAGCACCACCAGCACCACCACCAGCATCACCACCAGCAGCACCAGCAGCAGCACCACCACCAGCACCACCAGCACCACCACCAGCACCACCAGCACCACCACCAGCACCACCACCACCAGCAGAACCACGGCAACATCACAGTGGTCACGCGCCGGTTCGATTCCATCTTGCGGTGGTAATTAAATAATTATTTTTATCCGTGCCCCGCCCCCCACGCCCGAATAAAGATGACTGATTATGCTGATGACGATAATGACTGGTAAAGCATGACGACGACGACGACGATGATGACGCTAACGATGACGTCTGATGAGTCAGTCGGCCGGCAGAGTTGGGTGGCCGCGTGCCGTCTGTCTGCAAGTAGCAGCCGCGCAGCTCCACAAATAGCGTGCCTCCTCCTCCCCCCGCAGCCCCGCCCCTCACCCGCAGCCCCGCCCCCCTCCCACAGCCCCGCCCCCCCAGTACCCCCCCCCCCCCCTCAGCCGCTGCCTTGCACGAGCTAAGCCCTTGCAATGGCCAAACAGCAATACCGAGGAGCTGTCCGGGGCTGAGCTCCAGAAAAAAAATTCTCTACCCCCCACCCACCTACCCACCCACCTACCCACCCACCATCCCCACCCTACCCACCCACTCCACCCACCCACCTACCCTACCAACCCACCCACTCCACGCACCTACCACCCACTACCTCCCCCACCCCACCAACCCCACCTACCCACCCGACCCACCCCACCCACCACCCCCACGGTCCCCACCCACCGCTGCTGTCGGGAGCCGTGTCTCCACCCCCCCCCCCAACGGTGTGGTTTGGAAGTTTGGGGAAGCCCCGGTAAATACCTTCGTGGTAGGGGGTTGGGTGGGGGGATTTAAGTCTCGGTAGGCAAACTTTCGCTGGGCATCCGTCAGGGGTGGGGGGGGGGGTTTTCGTAACTCGAGTATCAATAAAAAAAATTCCGATTACATTCGTGTATCTATATATTTATATATCTATTGGGGGGGGGGGGGCGGGGGGTGTGTCAGGCACATCGCCTACAAACTCGTGGAGAGAAATTGAACGCAAAAGTCAAAGGTCAAAGTAACGTGCTGCTGATGATGATGATGCTGCTGCTGATGATGATGCTAAGTGCCGCTCGCGAATGCTCGGGATTGGTTCTCGTCGCCTGTTTACAACCCCGTGGTGGAAATTCCACATTGCTATGACGGTGGCGAGTATTCTCTCCGCGAGGACAACCGCGGTTGTCTTTCCCACAAGGTGGTGTTGTCTTTTTATTTTATCGACCCCGGAGGTGGGGGGGGGGACGATGATGATGGGCTGAGTCAACCCTCCTCCCCCACCCACCCCCCCAACAAATGGGATTTGAACTCGCGACCTTCCCATTGCCGCTGAGCCAGAGGCTTACATTTCACTTCGCCGCTTGCGTCAGAAGCGCATGCCAACCGCGCTTTCACCACCACTGCTACCGCCACCACCGCCACGACCACCACCGCCACCATCGCCACCACCTCCACCACCACCATCGCCACCACCTGCACCGCCACCACCACCATCGCCACCACCGCCACCATCGCCACTGCCACCACCACCATCGCCACCATCACTGCCACCACCACCACTAACGCCGCTGATGTGACGGCCACCGTCCCCGCGTGGGGACTGTGCAGGCATCGCGTTACATCCCCCACACCCCACACCCCATACCACATCCTCCCCATCCCCCCCACCCCAAACCCCATCCTCCCCACCCCACACCCCCCCATCCTCCCCACCCCACACCCCCCCATCCCCCCCACCCCACACCCCATCCCCCCCACCCCACACCCCATCCCCCGGAGCTGTGACGCCAACAGGGGGGCCCGAGAGCACGACAGAAATAGCAGTGGGAAGAGACACACACACAGACACACACACACACAGACACACACAGACACACACACACACAGACACACACACACACACATACACACAGACACACACACAGACACACACACATACACACACACAGACACACAGACACACACACACACAGACACACACACACAGACACACACACAGACACACACAGACACACACACACACAGACACATACACACATACACACACACAGACACACACACATACACACACACACAGACACACACACAGACACACACATACACACACATACACATGCACAGACACACACACACAGACACACAGACATACACACACACAGACACACACACATACACACACACACAGACACACAGACATACACACACACACATACACACACACACAGACACACACACAGACACACACATACACACACATACACATGCACAGACACACACACACAGACACACAGACAT